CCGGGTTCAAAGGTAAAAGAAGACTGACTATGTAAAAGGTCTTAACTAGTTAGATCTACTGATTCACAACGCACATTTGCATCCCCTATCGAGCTCTCTTCGGTCGTGTTGACAGATCCTTGACCAATGGGAATGGAGTGCGCTTGCAAGGATACTACCTGTCTCTTGCTAAGATACTCCACACCCAACAACTCCCCCATGGTCTACACGACGTCTGGGTGCGAGATAGCGAGCGCCGTCTTGAGCTTGGCGACGTTGCCGTTCCCGCGGCTCACTTTGCGCAGATAGGCGGCAACAATGACTGGCACGTCCGTGGCCATGTCTGCCGCCGGCTCCCACGAGGCCTCGAGGAAGTCTATCCCGAGCCACTTGACTCGAAGCATCCACGAGTGGGTCGGCCGGTCGAAGCGGCAGTCGAGGAAGAACTCAACAAGGTGGCCGCCCTCGACGTATGCGACGTGATCTGTCAACGCCTGCGTTACAAGCAAGTCGCGGGCGGCAAAAAACTTGAGACGCGAGGCATGGTGCGTCGTGATGGCGCCATTGCGCAGGTCCTCGATGCGGTAGACCCAGTCGCGTACGATAGTCACAATCTGACGCGGCCCGAGCCATTGCACTTGAAGTTTCTTGGCGAATGCCTCTGAAACTTGGCCGACTAGAACATAATCTCCGAGGTTAAAGAAGAATTGTTTTACGTTGGGCTTCTTGTTGCGTCTCGCACGCTCGTTGTCCCGGAGCGTGGCACTGGTCTTGGCGGCCTCCCGGTGGAGCTGGTCCCGGGCTGCAGCGAGCTAAATAAAGGCGTTCTCACGCAGGCGGGCCAGGGAAGCTTCCGGGACTTCCTGCACCTCGTCCACGACGCGGTAGGCTGAAAGCGCATGCCCGGGCGGGAGCATGGTCATGGCCGTGATCGGCGCCAAGCTTCGCACTCGGAGAGTGGTTCAACGAGTGTTGCACCAGTGGCACGAATGAGCGCCACTCCTTGGCAGCTCGGCGAGCACCGTCTTCATGGTCTTAAGGACGGAGCGCATGAGTACCTCGACGGTGCCATTAGCCCACGGGCAGTGGGCTGGCGAGAAGTGATGTACGCCGCCGTACTGGCGGCGCACCTCTTCCATGACTTGGTTCTTATAATAGGGTCCCTGGTCCGACGCCCAGTTGGGTGCGACGCCAAAGTTCGCAAACCACTGTTGAAGTGCATCGATGGCGTCGACCGCTCGGCACCCGTCGTGGACCGTGAGCTGGCAAAAACGACTCGCGTCGTCGACGATGACGTGGACGTAACCGTCCGGCATAGACATGAAGTCGCAGTGGATGAGCTCGTTCGGGACTGTCGCGTGCAGCGTCTCACCGAGAGGACGCGGCACCGTGCCGTTGCCGACGCACATGCACTTGAGGCACTGGCGCACGAAGAGCGCGACGTCCTCGGTGACGTTGCGCCACGAGTAGGTGCCCGTCAGCGCCGCCCGAGTCGCAGCCTGGCCACGGTGGCCCATCGCACCGGCGTGGGCGATAACGAGAAGGATGAGCTGCATGTCCAAGGCGGAGGCTGGGATCCAGATGCACCCGTTGATGCGCCCGACGCCGTCGGGGTTGTCGAAGACCAAGCTAGCCTTGATCTTGGTGAACTCAGTCTTCGCTGTGCGTTGGACGATGGTGAGTGACTCGAGCGTCGGCCACTCGAAGACGGCGCCGAGCTGCGACGGAGTCACCGGTGACACCGTCACCAGACGTCGCACCTGGAGTGCCCGACTGGAGTTCAACTCCAGAGGACTGGCATTGTTGCTGATGGTGACGTCATCGGAAGCTACCCATGGTAGTGCAACGGCGTCCACCGTGGCTGCCCGGTTACCCCAGCGTGAGAGCATGTCGCCCCAGGCGTTCTCGTCACCGGGCACATGGCGGATGTCATAGCGGAAGCAGGTGAGGGCCACGGCCCAGCGCGCCAACTTGTCCGCTAGGTAGCGCGGCTGTGCCGGCGACGGTTCGACACCAAAGATGAACGCCAGGTTGCGGTGGTCCGTCAATATAGTGAAGCCGCGCGCTCGATGAATAAGGTAATCGAGGCGCTTGACAGCGTAGATGATCGCCTACGCCTCCTTCTCAGTGACGCTCCACCGCAGCTGCATCTTGTCGAACGCACCACTGACAAAGGCCAAAGGACGATGGTCTTGCTCGCCGACGGGCAACTGCGCCTGGCCGGTGGGCACCTGCGTGAGCACGGCGCCGTGGAACTCGTGGCTCGCGTCCGTGCACAGGTAGAAGTCGAAGTCCTCGTTGGGATGAGCGAGGGTCACGAGCTGCATGAGCGCCTGCTTGTACTCGACGAAGCACTCGGCGTGCGCTGGCGCCCAGCATCGTGTGTACTCACCGGGGGTTGGACGGAGTCCCAGGTTTCAGGGAAAGGTGTATCCGGATGTAATAATTCCCTCATTGACAGTGAAATAGTATTTCAGTATTTCAGGTCAAGTTTTAATGAGGGAATTATTCGTGAATCGTGCGCGCATCCTTGAATTTCAACGGCTGTTTTCGGTGAATTTGTGGCCCATCACACTGGTCAGTGTGATAAAAACGCCAATTTATCAGAATTTTGGTTGGTCAAACCCTGCTTAACGAATTTGAGCATTCCGAAATGATTTCATCGCGTTACCATAGGGCTCATTAATTGACCGGTCACACGACGGGTGATATGGGTATGGTCGAATCGGATTGGTTATAATTCAATTTTCTCAGAAATATACTGACCTGTACACAACAAATCTATTTCTTTTATAGTCATTATTGTCTGTTAGTGGGAAGCAAGCACATAGGGTCTCAAAGGCCCCGGTTTCAATACTATCTTTTTCTTTTCTTTTTTCCACATTGACCAAGCCTTATTGTAGCGAGTAACGACTGAGCATCCGCCCACAAAATTGCGCGCACCGCAGCGTAGCGGAGGTCGTGTGTATAATTTTGTGCAGGCGGTGCCTTGGCGAGGAGTGAGCCCCAATCGTGCACTTCACCGAATGTCCAATCGATTCCTCTCGTCGGGAAAAGCGGCAGGTAGGCCGTAGGCCGTGCCGCTAGTACCCGGACGAGGCCTGTTCAACGACGAAATATTTTTACTTGATGTTTGTATTGACTGTGAGTTGAAACATAATCTATTGAATTATAACCAATCAGAATTGAATGCATCCATATCATCGTCGTGTGAGCGGTCAATTCTCGTGACCATTCCATGTATGTACAGTACTAGTTTACGACTTGGACGTGCTAGTACTGTACTAGTACTACGTAGTACTACAATTTTGTCTGTTTTCGGGCAAAATCTCACTCTATCCATACGGGAAAGGTGATTGATTTTGACAGCAATTCCCTCGCGGCAACAATAGTAACGTTACTGTTGTTTGTGATCATTTGGGCCTCCTGGCTTAGAAAACCCATATTATTCATGGCATATGGTCAAATCAAGTGTAAATTCAAAACAACTCATTATAGCGGAATAGCATTGTATGTAAGCGCAAGGGGTTCAGGGGTTCCAGGGGTTCCGGGGTTACAGGGGCTCTTGGTAAAAATGATTACGGAACAACCATACTATTGTTGCAGCAAGGGAATTGTTCTTGATTTTGATCGCAGAATCTATGACAACTGCGAATACGTAGTAAGTACTACGTAGTACTCCGGAGTATCTACTACTAGTACTGTAGTATTCTGTACTTGTACCGGTAGTACAGTACGTCTTTGACACGTCCTTTGAAATGGATGGTTCCAACACCCACAATCAAAAGAAATTACCCAGACTGCCATTTTCCAATCATCCCTCGAAATTCCGTCCATCATGGACTCCCAAGCGATTCAATTCGGCATGATGAACTCCATGCGCACCAACAACGTGGTCGTAGACACGCTCATCTGCCTCTTGATTCCAGTGTTTTTCAAGTTTCTGTACGAATCGACCGCCCACTTTGGGTGGCTGTGGGCGTACTTGTGCTCTCGCCACACCAAATCTACCCACGAAGTGATTCGCCGTATTGAAATCAAGCAGCACTTCAACTCGTGGGGCAAAGTCCGGGACCACGACCAACACAACCACATCTTGCAAAAAGCCATCTCCATCTACCTCAGCGAGCACTTGGACATGACGAGCCAGTCTGGGCGGTACGAATTGCTCGAGAACGTCAAGCCCACCGCTGATGCCGCGACGGACGACGAGGCCAGCCAGCCTCACTCGCACGACGACAGCAGCGAACGCGACCAGCTGCAAACACTCGGCATTGGCGCGTTGCCCCCTTTGAATGCATGGGTCAAGATTGAGGAAGGGGTCGAGTTTATGCACGAAATCAAGTCTGGCCAAGAAAAAATCCAAGACAACAACGAAGGTGGGGGAAATGCTGTCACCGAGTCCACAGTCACATTCCTCTTGCGGTCGTCCCTGGCGGATGGCACGACTCGCATCGACGACTTTGTGCACCGAGCGTACAAGAGCTACCAGGCCGCGGTGATGGCCAAGCACCAAAAGGACAAGTCTCGATACATGTACGTGGCGTCGAGTTCTGTGTCAGCATACGGCGCCGCGGCCGTCCAGAAGTACAAGCGGTATGCATTGGGCGAAGACAAGACATTTGACAGTTTGTTCTTTGAAGACAAGGCGCCGTTGCTGGCGTTGCTGGGCAACTTTCTCCACAAGAGCGGCAAGTTTGGCATCCCCGGGTTTCCGTACAAGTTGGGTCTGTTGCTGCACGGCCCCCCGGGTACGGGCAAAACCAGCCTCATCAAAGCCATCGCCCAGCACACCAAACGCCACATCGTCAACATTTCACTGAGTAAGATCAAGACCAACCAGGAACTGATGGATATGATGTTCGACCTCAAGTTTGGGCTCGCGGGGGAGGACTTGCCCATCAAGCTCGGCTTTAACAACATTGTGTTTGTCATGGAGGACGTCGACTGCGCGTCCAACGTTGTGCTTGCGCGGTCGTCCGATCCAGCGAGCCCCGAAAAAGACGACTTGGACTTGATGGATTTGGTTTCGACGAGTAAAGTGGAAGGAAATAACAAGGCGATCGGACCCGTGGTCAACACATCCAAGTGGGGGGGCTCCAAGGACACACTCAACCTCTCGGGGCTGCTAAATGTGCTGGACGGGGTCGTGGACAGTCCCGGGCGCATCCTCATCATGACCACCAACCACCCCGAGAAACTCGACCCGGCCCTCGTCCGCCCGGGCCGCGTCAACAAGAAGCTCATGCTGGGCCACATTTCGTCAAGGCAGACCCAACTCATGGTCGAGCACTTCTTTGCCACGACGTTGGACCCCAAGCAGCGAAAAGCCATCGACGACGTGTTTGCCAACACCACCAACAACGTGACCCCGGCTCAAGTCGAGCAACTGTGTGCCGAGTACGACCAAGTCGTGGAAATGCTCGACGCACTCGCCAAGTTGGGCGACTAAGCACTAACTAGTAGTACACATAAAGTATTTTAATCACATGTATTCTATTCGAACTTTCATACGTGGTGCTTCGTGCCCTCTGACAATTGCGACAGCGTTCAACTTGATAATGTTCATGACCCTATGTGTTTTACTATTAATAGTACGTGCTTGTACAGCGCAGTACTGTACCCCAGACCATGCGGACTGGCATATTACTGTAGTGAATTCCGGTGAAATTTGCTGTTTTGGGGTTCTGTTATGCGCAATTCGAAACTTGCCCGTCGAAGCGAACTCCGACGCCACCATCATCGATACCGGTACGTTCAAGGAAACTACAACACACCGCACTCCCGTCGAGAGCAATCACGTGCGCACATGTAACGTTACCCCGAGTGCTACTGTACTTGATTGCTGTTGCCCCCCGTCTACACTCATCTCGACTGTGTTATGCTCAGACAAGCTTATACAGTGTACTACAGTCTATAGTATACCGGTACATAGTAGTTTATTGAGTACTAGTACTACGTAGTATCGTGTTGTCATGAAAACACGAGACGTAATCCTAGTACTTCCTCCGTTCCGCAAAACTGGAGACATTCGGAACGATATCTCAGGCCAATAATCCCAAAATCGAACGAAATTTCAACCACAGATAGCCAATCAAAAGACGATTCTGAAGCTATTTTCAGATTTTTTTATTGTTTCTTGTCGCTTCGCAAGCATTTCAAACATACGCCACACAGTCATTTTTCATTCTATCGCGCTCAAATCAAGTGCAAACGACTCGCGGCGCTGCGTAGATATTGCTAGAGCCCATCAGAATTGTAATCCCACAACTGGGCGCGGCATACTTAAGAAATACAGCGACGACCAAGTTGGTATTTGGTGAGGGGAAGTCATACCATCCTCGTGTTGTACCGATTGATGCATGGTTAGCAGGTGCTGCAATACGAGAGTGTGGTTAGATACTCTAGATGCCTTGGTAGATGATGCCGCGAGAGTACTAGTGCACCTAATGCGTCCCTAGACCACAGCGCCTGCTCGGCCAGGGCCTTGAGTCAGCAGGGCATGCTGAGGCCCTCTGCTTGCATAACCTGCTTAGGAGGCCATGCAAGTCGTTGACATCAGCCGCTTGCACGATTTGCTGGTTCAAGTCCCTGGCCGAGCAGGCCCTACGGTCTAGGGACGCATCGGTTGCTCCACCAGCCCGCTCGCTGTCATGTCCGTCATGGATGCCTTCATTACATTTTACGTTTGTATGTGGACTGGTGGCCAAGTCAGCACATGATGAACCTTCTCGTCGTAAAATCAAGTTTGTGAAGTACATGTTTGCATGAGAACCCTAGACGAATAGGCAGTGGTAAACTGTGTTGGCGCTCATGCTGCCGTGCCAAGTCAGGGATTACTGTTTGATTGGCTGAATTAACGTATTTGTGGCGAATCAAATCATGAGGTCGATTTATTGCCACTTCACGTCAAAGGTTCAAACCATCTCTATATCTATAAATTATACTATTAACGTTACATAGGTATTTTATCGGTTCTGAAACCACCCACTGTTCGATTCATAGTGTCAACGAATCGAACATTGGAAATTTCGAGTGTAGAACCCACAATATCTGGCCGCAGCTGTTATCATGCAGAAAGACTGTACTCTTAGTGTGGGAAATAGAGATGACATGAGATGGAACCACAGTTTCTCGTGAATTGCGCATGACAGACACGTTTGGCGTAACTTTAGACGAGCGTTTCCATTCTCGAAATCGATGACAGTCAGTCGGAGCAAACGACGCATGAAGAGAACAGCTCCATACATACTGTAACGCCGAGGTCGAAGTCCTGTACCGGTAGTACAGTGTACTGTACCCCTCCCTACCAACAATACTACTGTAGCATAAAGTATTACACTTCGAAGTATGTATTTTACACTATTACTACGTTGTACTAGTAGATACTAATAGTAACTTGCAAGCATATCACGGCAATGTTAACTATTGGGAATCTCCATCTTGATTCGAAATGCTGAACAAGATTTGTCGACGTGTCTCAACTCTTCTCGTCGTTTCAATCGCGTACTTGCTCATGTGAGCCACAAACAACGTACAGCAAGTCAGTCATTCCTCGGCACCTACGACCTTGGAGGGGGACCATGCCCCAACACTAATACTGCGTCTTGCCCTAAAACCATTGCTCTTCAAATCAACGTGCGAAATCCTGTCATGGGGTAGTTGCATGCGTTGGTGTGAAGCTTCGCCGCTCCCGTTCTCGTCGCGGTTACACCCTTACGACGACTGCCCCTCGTGCTAAATTTAGCGTGTCCGTAGTTCCCAACCGGTCATTTTCCATTTTCGCAACTTGGTCGTCAAGACAGCGCCAACATGGGCATACTAACGTTATCACGAACATCTATCACACCGACGGTGAGCATCAAAAGCTTCACCACGAGGCCGGCAACGTCGTTGGGTCCTACTGCTCCTGCTGATGGATGCAAGGTAGTCGAAATCAATCATGCACTCGTGGACCCGACCGACAAAGCAACCACCATTCACGTATGGGCCCTTGGCATTGTAGCCGTGATTGGTGGGCAGTTTTACGGCTGGAACGTCTCGTTCGGAGCAGGGTTTTTACCGTTTTTCCTCTCATTCGTGATGATGGGGGCAGCGTACATCATTTACGTGGCGTGCGTTTCCGAAGTTGGGGGAAAAGTTCCCGGTGGCTCGTACGGGTTGGCTCGAGCAGTGCTGGGGTATTACCCTGGATTTCTCCTCAGCAGCCTCGAACTTCTCGAGTACACTTCATTTGCGTCCGTGTCGGTGTTGTACGTGACCGAGTTTGCGACCACGTTTTTCAACTGGAACGAGGACTACCAACCGATCTTGTGGCTGCTGTTCTACGCAGTGTTCATCTTCATCTTGGAATCGCGGGGCAAGTACGTGTGGTGGTTTATGCTCGTGTTCGTTGTGCTGTGCCTCGCGCCCACCGTTTTGTTTGTGTGTGGGTCGCTCTCGTATGTCAACTTTCAAGCCAACGCCATCCTTGTGGACGACGCGACCAACGAAACAACGTGGGCCACAGGCGATATTTCGTCGGCGTTCTTTGGCATTTTACCGTCAACGACGGTGGGGTTTGCAGGCGTCGAAAGCCTCACGGTGGTCACTGGGTTTGTCAAAGATCCAGCAGTAGCCGTGCCCAAGGGGACCGTGGCGGCCGTGTGGACGCTGTTCGTGTCCAACATAGCACTCATTCTCGTTCTGGCATCCCTTCCCCCAGGCCTCGCGACGACTTCCACGGACGAGTACTTTCTCGATCGTGGATTGAGTCTAGGACTTGGCATGTCCTCTGGACTGTCAGAGTGGCTCATGATGCCGGCGCAAATGGGCATGGCGTTTGGCTTTTTCATTCCGTACGCTCGACTGACTCAAGCGATGGCCGATTCCAACTTGTTGCCATCATGCCTGCGACTCAAAGGTCAGCCCAACACGGGACGGGCGATGATCGTTGCGTCTGGGTTTGGGTACCTCATCTGCCTCGTGTCGTTCTACAGCCCCAAGTTCAAACAAACGCTGCAAAACATCTC